TTACTAGATAACATTTTTGTTCGCTTTGGAGATTCCATATATCATCAGGTTATCGGAATTCCAATGGGGACTAACTGTGCACCACTTATTGCGGACCCTTTTTTTGTATTGCTATGAGTTACAATTTATGACAAAAATGAGCAAAGACCCATCGAAACAACATCTGATACACAAATTTAATAATACTTTCAGATATTTGGATGATATTTTGGCTCTCAATAATGACGACTTCAGTATGTATACTAAAGAAATTTATCCTGTTGAACTTACTTTAAATAAAGCTAATACTAACAATGACCACTGCCCTTTCCTCGATCTTGATATCTATATCATTAATGGAAAGCTTAATACTAAAATATATGATAAAAGAGATGATTTTTCATTTCCTATCGTTAATTATTTTCCCTTGTCACCATCTTACGGTGTTTATATATCTCAACTTGTACGATTCGCTCGTGTATGTAACAATGTTTTAGATTTTAACGAGAGAAATTTATGTATTACTGAAAAATTATTACACCAGGGTTTTCGATATCACAAACTAGTCAAAACATTTACTAAATTTTATCATCGGTATAAGGACATCATTCGTAAATATAGCTCAACATGCAGACTTCTTATACGTTCAGGTATTTCACATCCAATTTTTTATGGAAATATTCTTTATAAAGCACAAAAATGTCAGTATTCACCTCTGAAGCTAACAAAACCTTTAAATAGACTTATTAAGAAGGGATATAGTTACGATACTGTTGTCAGGTCATTAAAGATTGCATATTTTGGCGTTAATATTGATTCACTTATAGGGTCTTTGCATCAGCACTAAACACATTTATTTAATAAAATGCTTCGCTGGGCGCAGCTTGATACGACCGCAGAGGTCGAACCCTGAACAGTTGGGGCAAGTATGGACACAACATTCAAGCTTGATACAGCTCTGAATTTGGATTGTGATTAAATATTTGACACAGCATAGGTTTCTGACACAGAAAGAATGTGGTCTAAGAACTTCAATTTTTTTAACTTACCTATTATGGTCCAATGTCCAAAATCAAAATACATGGCTAGATTCAGCATATCAAAGAACCCCATATATTCAATTTTTGTTGAAATCAAACAAAGTTTAATTTTGGACCCCAACTTGGACAAACTTGAAAACTGGTCCCATAATCAAAAATCTTAACACATGTTTAGATTCAGCATATCAAAGTACCCCAAGAATTCAATTTTTGTTAAAATCAAACTAAGTTTAATTTTGGACCCTTTGGACCTTAATGTAGACCAATTTAAAAAACGGGACCCAAAATTAAAAATCTAAAAACACGGTTAGATTTGGCATATCAAAGAACCCCAATAATTCAATTTTTGATGAAATCAAACAAAGTTTAATTTTGGACCCTTTTGACCTCAATATGAACCAATTTGATAGCGGGCCCACAAAATAAAAATCTAAATACATGGTAAGATTCAGCATATCAAAGAACCCCATATATTCAATTTTTGTTGAAATCAAACAAAGTTTAATTTTGGACCCCAATTTGGACCAACTTGAAAACTGGGCCAAAAATCTAAAATCTAAATACATGTTTAGATTCAGCATATCAAAGAACCCCATATATTCAATTTTTGTTGAAATCAAACAAAGTTTAATTTTGGACCCCAACTTGGACCAACTTGAAAACTGGTCCCATAATCAAAAATCTAAACACATGTTTAGATTCAGCATATCAAAGAACCCCAAAAATTCAATTTTTGTTAAAATCAAACTGTTTAATTTTGGACCCTTTGGACCTTAATGTAGACCAATTTAAAAAACGGGACCCAAAATTAAAAATCTAAATACACGGTTAGATTTGGCATATCAAAGAACCCCAATAATTAAATTTTTGATGAAATCAAACAAAGTTTAATTTTGGACCCTTTTGACCTCAATATGAACCAATTTGATAGCGGGCCCACAAATAAAAAATCTAAATACATGGTAAGATTCAGCATATCAAAGAACCCCATATATTCAATTTTTGTTGAAATCAAACAAAGTTTAATTTTGGACCCCAATTTGGACCAACTTGAAAACTGGGCCAAAAATCTAAAATCTAAATACATGTTTAGATTCAGCATATCAAAGAACCCCATATATTCAATTTTTGTTGAAATCAAACAAAGTTTAATTTTGGACACCAACTTGGACCAACTTGAAAACTGGGCCCATAATCAAAAATCTAAACACATGTTTAGATTCAGCATATCAAAGAACCCCAAGAATTCAATTTTTGTTAAAATCAAACTAAGTTTAATTTTGGACCCTTTGGACCTTAATGTAGACCAATTTAAAAACGGGACCCAAAATTAAAAATCTAAATACACGGTTAGATTTGGCATATCAAAGAACCCCAAGAATTCAATTTTTGATGAAATCAAACAAAGTTTAATTTTGGACCCTTTTGACCTCAATATGAACCAATTTGATAGCGGGTCCACAAATAAAAAATCTAAATACATGGTTAGATTCAGCATATCAAAGAACCCCAAGAATTCAATTTTTGATGAAATCAAACAAAGTTTAATTTTGGACCCTTTTGACCTCAATGTGGACAAAGTTGATAACGGGGCCCAAAAATCAAAAATCTAAATACATGGTTAGATTCAGCATATCAAAGAAACCCATCTATTCAATTTTTGTTGAAATCAAACAAAGTTTAATTTTGGACCCCGATTTGGACCAACTTGAAAACTGGGCCCATAATCAAAAATCTAAATACATGTTTAGATTCAGCATATCAAAGAACCCTAAAAATTCAATTTTTGTTAAAATCAAACTAAGTTTAATTTTGGACCCTTTTGACCTTAATGTAGACCAATTTGAAAACAGAACCAAAAATTAAGAATCTAAATACACAGTTAGATTCGGCATATCAAAGAACCCCAATAATTCAATTTTTGATGAAATCAAACAAAGTTAAATTTTGGACCCTTTGGACCTCAATGTGGACGAATTTAAAAACGGGGCCGAAATTCCAAAAACTTAATACACGGTTAGATTCAGCATATTAAAGAACCCCAAGAATTCAAGAATAAAACCCCATTGAAATTGATCAAGAAATAAGCAATTTATACAAGTATCTTCTTTTGCACAATACTGTGCAATTGAATATTTCTTGCTATTGTGCAATACTGTACAATTGACAATTTCTTGCTATTGCGCAATATTGTGCTATTGGATATTTCTTGCTATTGCGCAATACTGTGCAATTGAAGATTTCTTGCTATTGCGCAATACTGTGCAATTGAAGATTTCTTGCAATTGTGCAATACTGTGCAATTGAAAATTTCTTGCTATTGCACAATACTTATTATATAATAATTTACACATCCTGTTTGGTGTGTATCTCCAACCATATCATTATTATTTGCTTTTAAATATTAATCAGAAATAACCAACTTAAAATGGAAAATTTTAAAAGAAAAAAAAAGGAAAAAAAGAAAAAAAAAGAAAAAAAAAAAATCCCCCCCCAATTTTTTGAACCCCCTTATGATTCATCACCCCCAAACTCAATCCCAGCCTTCCCTTTGTGGTATGGTACCTTGCAGTACAATTTCAGAGAGATCCATACACTTGAACACAAGTTATTGTCTGGAAACTAGAAAAATGCTTATTTTTGGCCCCTTTTTGGCCCCCAATTCCTAAACGTTTTGGGCAATTACCCCCAAACTCAATTCCAGCTTTCCCTTTGTGGTATGGAACCTTGTAGTACAATTTCAGAAATATCCAAACACTTACACACAAGTTATTGTCATGAAACTAGAAAAATGCTTGTTTTTTGCCCCTTTTTTGGCCCCTAATTCCTAAAATGTTGAGGCAATTACCCCCAAAATCAATTACAGCCTTCCCTTTGTGATATGGAACCTTGTGGTACAATGTCAGAGAGATCCATACACTTACACACAAGTTATTGTCTGTAAGTTACAAAAATGCTTATTTTTGGCCCCTTTTTGGCCCCTAATTCCTTAACTGTTGGTACCATAACCCCCAAAATCAATCCCAACCTTCCTTTCATGGTATTGAACCTTATGGTAAAATTTCATGGAGATCCATTCACTTAAACTAAAGTTAGAGTGTGCGAAAACCAATGTGTCTTCGGACGACGCCGGACGACGACGACGACGACGACGACGCCAACGTCATACCAATATACGACCAAAAAATTTCAATTTTTGCGGTCGTATAAAAACCAGTTGTTGGCATGACACGGGTTATGTTCTTCTCATATATGTTATGATGGTATGATACTAAACCCCTAACGGGAAGGATTGTGCCTGATATTCATATGATGAAGACATAATCTTTCAATCAGTTTAATTGAAGTCTGGAGCTGGCATGTCAGTTAACTGCTAGTAGTCTGTTGTTATTTATGTATTATTGTCATTTTGTTTATTTTCTTTGGTTACATCTTCTGACATCAGACTCGGACTTCTCTTGAACTGAATTTTAATGTGCGTATTGTTATGCGTTTACTTTTCTACATTGGCTAGAGGTATAGGGGGAGGGTTGAGATCTCAAAAACATGTTTAACCCCGCCGCATTTGTGCGCCTGTCCCAAGTCAGGAGCCTCTAGCCTTTGTTAGTCTTGTATTATTTTTAATTTTAGTTTCTTGTTTACAATTTGGAGTTTAGTATGGCGTTCATTATCACTGAACTAGTATATATATTTGTTTAGGGGCCAGCTGAAGGACGCCTCCGGGTGCGGGAATTTGTTAGTGACCTTCTGCTGTTGTCTGTTCTATGGTCGGGTTGTTGTCTCTTTGACACATTCCCCATTTCCATTCTCAATTTTATTTGTGTAAAGACAGTAACTTGACAGCTAAATGTCTTTTGGTTATTTGTGTCTTTGTGCTGCTATTTCATTGAAGTATATCCCACATCTCCTTTTATTCATATATTTAATTTTTGTCCAGGAAGGTGACATTAATTTAGCAATAATTCAGATGTAAGAATATACCTTTAGCCCCTCATCTCTCTCAAGTAGGGGTCTACAGTATACTGGAACAGGCACTGGTACATGACTTTTTGATGGAGCATCTCGGGAGACACTGGTTAGTTTGGCAGGTAAACTCCAACCGTAAGCTTGAAGTCTACCATCATCTTTCTTTACATGGGCTCTCACTTGTTTGTATTGCTCCATTCTTTCCTTTTCTCTTTCTTTTTTGGCTTTTTCTGACATTCTACAAATGTTTTGAAAAAATATTGCTTTTAACATTAAAGCAATAAAATCTTTAAATAAAACATGAAATGGCACTCAAATGTTATACTTTTAATTTTAATTGTTAGAATCAATTTCTGAAAAAGATTCTTTTGTTGTTTATTTTGTTTTCAAAGAAATGTAAATATATAATGGTCAAAATTCAGAGCAAATATATATATTTGATCTTAATCCAAAAATATCAGAATTCTTAATGAGACATTTCATTTAATTCATGAAAATCATTTTCAAACTAAATACAGTTAAAAAAATGAATAATAAACTCCCATTGATTTTTATTGTCTGCTTAAAGAAGAATGCTTTTTTTAATATATGCAACCAACAACATCTGAAAGATCAATGAAATTGGGCAACCATAAGTAAAACTACTTTTATTGAATGCAGTAATCTATACAATAAACAATAAACACTTTTAAAGTCCTTAAGAATATCAAACTATCAGTGGCATTTGTACCTTTCATTTAAGAATTCAATTTATGTGTGTATTCAAATTGATATAAAAAGAAATTCAAAACCTGAAGACAGTACCCAAGTTATCATAATAAATGTAAAGTAACACCATTTCAAGGAGTAAATGGCAAAATTAGCAAAAGTAAAGATCAATCTTAAGATAACTCTAACTTCAAATATGACATCATTGATATTGATAGAACAGACCTAGATTCATGCACCATGCACAATTCATGTAATTTTCTTGACAAGTATGGTTATTCACATACAAATCATTTTGCATCTTGAATATCTGAGTATAAAGTTCATTGATAAATTTCATGGATAGAATTTTTAGAATGTTGTGCTCGATGCAATATGTTTTATCTATCTCAAAAGTAGTGATAAAGTCTAGAAAATTGAAAACTATGAAGCCAGCTGCAGAAGGGTTTTGATTGTATGAATGCAATCTTTATCCCCAATAAAAATTGACATAGGAAAATGAAAGACATCTCTGTCTACAAAGATGTGGTGCAGTTCTTCTGTTGCTCAGTATATTAAACTCTGTCCTCAAATTATTGAATAAGACAATGATTGTCTCTAGATTTGGCATGTTAAAGTCATTAATATTATATTAGACATACACTGTATGTTGATGTGCTAACACAGGATCTTCTAACAGTGACTCTATTTTACTGGATCTAAATAAAGCAGTTCAGATGCATAATGGTTACAACAAGCAAAACATAAAAGAAAACATAATGAAAGCTCATAGATTTATCACATTTCTGTACAACCATATAAAAAACATTCCTAAAAACCTTCCCTCCCATGCTTTCACAAAAATGCCAATTAAAAGAAGAAATTTCATTTTCACAGAAAAAAATATATTTCTACATTAAAAAAATAAAAAATATATATGATAAATGTGTCTAACTATTAATTCTTTAAAAGCAATTGGATGGTGAACTTTCTAGGAATGTTTTTTTTATTATGAGTACATGGATAATAATTTAAAGTAAGTTGTATCTATTTCAAGCTTCAGAAAATATATGTTAAATGCATAAACAAATCCATGAACTTTAAAATATACTGTATAATTCAGATATTTATTAACACATGATCATCATGATCGTGGCAGTTGTGACATTAGTAAATGTAGTGCACATTATACCATTAATATGATATCAGTGCATGTACAGTGCATATTACAAATGAGATACCATGACATACGCCACACATAATCACAAGTAAGTTTCCAATAATATGATGGAGATCTGGTCATTAATTTCTGAATATACAATGACAAAATATAATAAAACAAAATTGACAAAAAACAAAGAAATGTTCTAACATGCATCAGGCTAATGATGTGGCTTCCCTTTGATTGCCTCTTATAAATATTTCACAAATGTAAGATTTTTTTGTGGTCACAAACTTTTGTTTTAAGTTTCTGAAAAGCTTATTAAAAATTTAAATTTGTCACAATATCTTTCATTAGACATGGTATGCATTAATTCCATCACATTTCATTCTTTATAATTGGAAACAGTATCCCTCACTTTGCATCAAAAAACTTTTCAGACAGATGGATGCATTGTTGTACAGCAAGGAAGATACTACATGTTCATCTTGAATATTAATATTCAAAGCATTATTCAATTTCTTTTTTAAAGAGTTATCATATATATAAAGAATGAAATACTGAAAAGCATCTAATAGGGCATTATAGATAGTGAAGCTAACACCATTTAAATGTATAATTTGTGGAAATGTTTACCCATCATCTGCAGTGTTCTGTTTTCTAATACATTAAACAACATTATTTCAAATAAATACAATAAATTTAATGCCGTTGCTGATCACAGATTGGCGTATCTATGTCTCTCTAGTCAAAGGGGAGACAAATAGTTTGTTTCTACATACCCAGTGCATTTTTATCATAAGTTATAAAATGAAATCAAACAATATAGTATTAAATGAAACATACTACATTTGTGTGTGTACCTTCAGTTTGTCGTGCTATTTAACAGTTTAAGCATGCTATGATTGCACAATGACAACACAAAATGATGCACAGCATATGTTCTTACTTATACATGTATAATGCATATCAATGAATACAACATATACTGAAATATATATTTTTTAAGAATGTCTTTTCTTCTAAATGACACCTAAGCATTAAATGGCTAGTTCGCTGTGATAAATTACAAAGATCATGAAGATGAAATACTGGAAAAAATACTGACAACATTGTACATGTCTTTACATTTGTAAAACAAAATTTACTTACAATTCATCCTGCATGAAGTCATAAGCTTTCGCTTTGTCCCCAAGATTGTAGGTCTTCCTGGTTCTCTTATTGGGGTCCCCTACAGGTTGAACTTGTGTCGTAGGGGCATTGTATTTGACAGTTGCCATTGGGTATGGCTTCTTGTTTGGCTTGTTGGAGGAACTGAACAGGTTACTGAAGCTGAAATATAAATAAATCTTAAGGTAATCCAGGTAATAAATACATACCATCAACTTTTTCAACCTTGGAAAAGAAGATATTATCCACTGGGAAAAATATCTATTGTACTTGTAGTTAAGGCACCATCTCTCTTCTTTACCACAGGTTCCAATGTATTCCAGTTGGTAATTTAAATCCAAAATTTAACACTGATTAGAGATTTCATATAAAGAATTAGCTTCCACAAGTGCACTATGAGGTAAAGTTTTAAAATCCTACCACAAAAAAGGAGGTAGAAATAAAAAAAGAATGTGTCTGAGGATGCAAATGGTAATGACTACCTGCCCAAATTCGAATTCTGTCTGCGTATTGTGGTTCTTAGCATTTGGATGAGGAAAACTTAAGTTAAGAGTGCAGTAACGAAAATGGGATGGCGGACAGACGGAAGGACGGACAGAAACTATCAGAGTTGCAATTTTTTAATAACAAATATTATGGTGGCATTTCCAATAATATTTTAAAGATCTTGGTTCAACCTGATTCAAAATGATCACATGCTTATTTGTTTATTTGGTTATATATGTTTCTGAAGTGTTTTCATCTTCTGATGATGTAAACACAAGTATTTTTGGTCATACATTTTCTATATTATTCACACAACAATATTGAACTGTAAATCATCTAACTTGCTTTCATAACAAGAAAACAAAACAACTTTGAACAAAATTATGACTAAAAAAACAAATAAACTTCAGATAATTTTTCAAAACTGGATTGAATTATTTGAAGCAATGTGTAATCATATGAAATAGCGAACAGATATATCAGGTTCTGGATCAGATGCTTTCAAAAAATACCAGTTGAGGGAAGAAAAATACCAGTTGAGGGAAGTAAAATACCAGTTGAGGGAAGTAAAATTTCAGTTGAGGGAAGTAAAATACCAGTTGAGGGAAGTAAAATACCAGTTGAGGGAAGTAAAATTTCCTGAGCCACTTAGAAAAGGAAAGTTCTTACCAAGAAGACATTTAATAAAGCACACAAATGATCAAACATCTCTCTGAAGGTAAAATAGGCATACAAGATTTGGCAAATACTAGGACAGAAAATGTAAAAAAGTTGTGCTTATAACCCAATGATGGTGAAATATGATCACTATTCATCTTATATAAAATACATGAAAAATACACTAGGTATCTCCCAATCAAAATCCAGGATACTTTTATGTGTAATTTATAGCAAAATAAAAGAACAATGTGTCTGAGGACACGAATGCCCCCGCTCAAGCTTGCTTTTCAAACAAAAATGGGACAGACAGAAGGACGAAATAAATGTTTGGAATGTTAGCCTTCATTTTTTGCAGCCAAAACCTATTAAGTCTTAGTATCCATATGTCTTATATACAATCAAAGAGTCAGAGAGAATTATTCATGGATTTATTTCGTTATGGTTTTGTCACAAAGAAACCTGAAAATTAACATTACATAAATAGGGAATGTGTCCATGGGGACACAGATGATGCCCCGTCTTGCATATAAAGTTATAAAGGGACATAACTCAAGAATGGTAAAAGTGATGCTACCCAAATTCAAACTTGATCTGAGTTTTATGGTAATAAGCATTGTGTATAAGTTTCATAACATTAGGTTGAGGCAAACATAAGTTAGAGAACAGAAATGAATAAAATGCTCCGCAGGGCGCAGCTTGATACGACCGCAGAGGTCTAACCCTGAACAGTTGGGGGAAGTATGGACACAACATTCAAGCTTGATACAGCTTTGGATTTGGATTGTGATTAAATATTTGACACAGCATAGGTTTCTAACACAGATTGAATGTGGTCTAAGAACTTAAAAATTTTAAATTGGACATTCACCTATTATGGTCCAATATCCAAAATCTAAATACATGGTTAGATTCAGCATATCAAAGAACCCCAAGAATTCAATTTTTGATGAAATCAAACAAAGTTTAATTTTGGACCCTTTTCACCTCAATGTGGACAAAGTTGATAACGGGGCCCAAAAATCAAAAATCTAAATACATGGTTAGATTCAGCATATCAAAGAACCCCATATATTCAATTTTTGTTGAAATCAAACAAAGTTTAATTTTGGACCCCGATTTGGACCAACTTGAAAACTGGGCCCATAATCAAAAATCTAAATACATGTTTAGATTCAGCATATCAAAGAACCCTAAGAATTCAATTTTTGTTAAAATCAAACTAAGTCTACTTTTGGACCCTTTGGACCTTAATGTAGACCAATTTGAAAACGGAACCAAAAATTAAGAATCTAAATACACGGTTAGATTCGGCATATCAAAGAACCCCAATAATTCAATTTTTGATGAAATCAAACAAAGTTTAATTTTGGACCCTTTTGACCTCAATGTGGACAAAGTTGATAACGGGGCCCAAAAATCAAAAATCTAAATACATGGTTAGATTCAGCATATCAAAGAACCCCATATATTCAATTTTTGTTGAAATCAAACAAAGTTTAATTTTGGACCCCGATTTGGACCAACTTGAAAACTGGGCCCATAATCAAAAATCTAAATACATGTTTAGATTCAGCATATCAAAGAACCCTAAGAATTCAATTTTTGTTAAAATCAAACTAAGTTTAATTTTGGACCCTTTGGACCTTAATGTAGACCAATTTGAAAACGGAACCAAAATTTAAGAATCTAAATACACAGTTAGATTCGGCATATCAAAGAACCCCAATAATTCAATTTTTGATGAAATCAAACAAAGTTTAATTTTGGACCCTTTGGACCTCAATGTGGACCAATTTAAAAACGGGGCCCAAAATCCAAAAACTAAATACACGGTTAGATTCAGCATATTAAAGAACCCCATGAAATCAAGAATAAAACCCCATTGAAATTGGTCAAGAAATAAGCAATTTATAGGAAGTATCTTCTTTTGCACAATCCTGTGCTATTAAATATTTCTTGCTATTGCGCAATACTGTACAATTGACAATTTCTTGCTATTGCGCAATATTGTGCTATTGGATATTTCTTGCTATTGCGCAATACTGTGCAATTGAAGATTTCTTGCTATTGCGCAATACTGTGCAATTGAAGATTTCTTGCTATTGTGCAATACTGTGCAATTGAAAATTTCTTGCTATTGCACAATACTTATTATATAATAATTTACACATCCTGTTTGGTGTGTATCTCCTACCATATCATTATTATTTGATTTTAAATATAAATCAGAAATAACCAACTTAAAATGGAAAATTTTAAAAGAAACAAAAAAGGAAAAAAAGAAAAAAAAGGAAAAAAAAATAAATCCCCCCCCAAAATTTTTTGAACCCCCATTATGATTCATCACCCCCAAACTCAATCCCAGCCTTCCCTTTGTGGTATGGTACCTTGCAGTACAATTTCAGAGAGATCCATACACTTGAACACAAGTTATTGTCTGGAAACTAGAAAAAAATGTGTTTTTTGGCCCCTTTTTGGCCCTAAATTCCTAAACGTTTAGGGCAATTACCCCCAAACTCAAACCCAGCTTTCCCTTTGTGATATGGAACCTTGTAGTACAATTTCAGAAAGATCCATACACTTACACACAAGTTATTGTCATGAAACTAGAAAAATGCTTGTTTTTTGCCCCTTTTTTGGCCCCTAATTCCTAAAATTTGGAGGCAATTACCCCCAAAATCAATCCCAGCATTCCTTTAGTGATATGGAACCTTGTGGTACAATGTCAGAGAGATCCATACACTAACACACAAGTTATGTCTGGAAGTTACAAAAATGCTTATTTTTGGCCCCTTTTTGGCCCCTAATTCCTTTACTGTTATTACCATAACCCCCAAAATCAATCCCAACCTTCCTTTTGTGGTATTGAACCTTGTGGTAAAATATCATAAAGATCCATTCACTTAAACTAAAGTTAGAGTGCGAAAACCAATGTGTCTTCGGACGACGCAGGACGACGACGACGACGACGACGACGACGACGCCAACGTCATACCAATATACGACCACAAAAATTTTTTTGCGGTCGTATAAAAATTCAGTAATTTTTATACGACCGCAAAAAATTTTGCGGTCGTATATTGGTATCTTGCGTTGTAGTTCGAAGACATTTGGTTTCCGAACAATAACTTTAGTAAATGTAAATAGAAATCTATGAAATTTAAACACAAGGTTTATAACCACAAAAGGAAGGTTGGGATTGATTTTGGGGGTTATAGTCCTAACAATGTAGGAATTAGGGGCCAAAAAGGGGCCCAAATAAGCATTTTTCTAGTTTCCAGACAATAACCTGTGGAACGGTGTATGGATCTCTCTGAAATTATACCACAAGTTTCCATACCACAAAAAAAATGGTTAGGATTGGCTTTGAGGGGTTTTGGCTCAAACCGTTTAGATATTCGGGGCAAAAAAGTGAGAAAAACAAGGGTGTCCTGGTTAATGGACAATTACATAAGTACAAATTACAGTGTAAGGGAGGTAATTCAATGTTGTGTTTGAATTACCTCCAGTGTTCTCCCCAGGATTTTTGGATAGCACCAGGGTAACGCGTGTGAACAGCTTGGTGAAATGATTCATACAATGAGTTGTGTCCCGTTGCTTCGCTATATTTCTAGTTACTACAGTTTTTATGTCTCTTGTTTAGTTTTAATACTGTGGTACTGTGTTATGTCAGAATATTATTGGTTAAAAAGATCAATAAACAGTTTGTATACTTTTAATATTTTTTAAAAATAAATAAAACATGATTCATTACATAATATTCATCTAAATTTAAAGTAATTAAATTTTTTATAAAATCCATGATCAATAAAAATAAAATATCATTCAAACAGGAACATATAAATTGTTAGATATACTGTTCCCAGATTCAAAAGAGAACAAAAATGTTCAATTTAAAAAACTTTCTAGTTTCTAGAAAGAAAGTTGTTGTATGTGAAAAGATTCCTGTCATAAGGAGATTTAAAATTAACAAGAACAAAATTGTGTAATAATTTGAACCAGTTTCTATCTTAAAT